GTAAAATAAAAATGAAATAAAGAAACTAGAAAAATAATTTGCTCTTCCCGACGAATGTGTGAATCGTGGCTTATGAAGTTCCTAATGAATTATCCGTTCGATCATGTATGACGGAATATTTAATAATACCTAGTAATATAAAGGCCGTAAGAAGTGCAGCAATTGACGTACTTTGGCTAACAAGTAATAATTAATTCAAATTGATCCGAGTATTAATAACGGGCGAATTTAATTACAGCCTTGACAAATGAAGCTCGCGTGCGAGATGGGGAAGCTTTTTCAACGGAATAATTTGCCGAGAGAATACATCGCTTGAGCAAAATTTGAGCTGAGCTGCTTGAGCAAAAGAGCCTCCGTTGAATTTACAACAGTGTTATTGTATTTAATTAATGATAATCGTTGGTCGCTGTCGTAATACTCGATCGCAAGCTAAATTAAATAAGATCTTAATTTCTCACAGAAAATTCTAGATAGTCTATGTTTTTAGCTAAATTGCAATTATCGCTCCGAACTAGCGTTTATACGTATACGCATAAATTAATGGCTATCGCGAAGATCGATGAATTCATTCGGTTAATAAATGGCTCTATTCGTTGAAAAAATATTAATTTCGATTAATTTGCAACTTGAGCTCGATAATTTACATTTAACGCTGCTCGTCCATTATTATTCCATTATCATTTTTTACATAATTATTTTGTGTGCAGATTGTACGATTCACTTCTGAATAAGAGCTCTTACATTTGAAGTCATAGGTTAAAATAACGAACGATATGATACTAAAAACAAGGATAACAGCGGCAATAACAACGACAACCACAACGACTACGATAATAACAATAACAATAATAATAATAATAATAATAATAATAATAATAATAATAATAATAATAATAATAATAATAATAATAAGGCATGGCTTAAGATATATTTCATTGGGATGTTATTGTTCGGTAATTAAATCGTATGAAATTAAAATCATGATTTACGCGTTTAAGAAACAAAATCCCTCCTGAAGTAATTATCGAAACGCTCGCCCCAAAGAACCGCGGCATTACGAATGATTATAACAGGGGAGTGGGCAATTTTAGGGATCATAAAATAAAGTATTGAAATTTTGGGGAAAGAAAGGAGCGAGAGGCAGGCGGCGAACTGGAAGTCTTGAGGCGGAGTAAGTCTGCGAAATGCTCCACTTTCACGTGACGCTGCCCGATACGATATTCCAAACTTTCATATAATGATAATCGGTCGATTCGCGGGTTAAGCTCACGGGTCGTAAAATAGAGCGCCTTTATATATCTCGACGCCTCGCGTAATTGAAAAATTTCAATTTCTGAGTAGACAACAACGGGTAATAATAACAGCCGAGGACTCTCGCTCGACCGCCGCTAATGCAGGAGCGAAAGAGAGCGCGGAGGAAAAGGGAGGAAGGAAGAAAGGAGGTTGGTTGGGCATGGTAGTCCCGGCAACAACACCTTTCGCGAAGAGAGGCAATACCAGGTGTTGTCTTCTATGCATAATATGGGCCGCATCGCCCCTATACGCATGCGAGTAGCCTCGCTATCCGCGCCGTCTTCATCCTCCACCTCCACCTCCCGCTTTTTTTCCTCGGGGCCCGCTGCGCCCAAGACAAAGGCCCTCGAAAAGGCCGATGCACGCGGAACACCTAGCCGTAAAGTAGTTCGGACCCCGATTAGATCCGCCGCTAACGCCCAGGAAGGTATTGGCCGGGGGACGTGAGTGGGCACGTGACTGGCGGCGAG